AATCCGGGATCCAAGTAGATTAGGTTAAGGCAAGTATGAGTTCAACCCTTTTCTCATCGGGCCAGGATCGATAGCCGTTCGACCTGAGGAAAGTGCGGTCAGATTCAGAATCCCCAATGTCTTGGTCTTTACCTTCGCTTCGAGGGACAAGCACCGCATCTAGGTAAGCGGCATCTAATTGAATTGATTCACCGGATCTTCCATCTACGAAAATGGAAGAGATGTCTGTTAAGGTCGGCTTCATGAAAGCAAGAAAGGAAGCAAGTTTAGCGAACATAGAGATGGAAAGAGATGGATTTTGCCCAGCTGTTGTCAGATCAATTCCCATTCATTCTTTAATGGAATAGGGAACGGGCAGAGCTGCGGCTATCAGGAATGGGCGATAGCCTATGACTAAAAGCGCCGACTATCTATGAATGACCAGGATCGGAATGCCAATCGACGAGATGAGCCTACGAAAGATTTAAAGTTCAGACTATGATGACTGGCATCCTCACTTACGCAACGAAATTGAGTTGATGGAGTAGCCAGTGCCCTTGAGTTATTCTCTTCGGTATCGCCTTCTCTCATCGTTAAAGGCGCCGCAAGGCACTCGACTAGAAGGAGTGGATGTTAGGCACGCAGGGAAGACTCTGACTATGCGCTGGCACTAGCCCTGGGCATGGATTCTTCTTTGATTGAAGGAACGGGACAGAAGAGAACCAGAACCATATCCTTCACACATTCAGTCTGATCTTATCTGCGCTATTGCCCGATCATAGCTGTACTGTATTAGATTAGTTATCCGTCTCCCCTGCCCTGTTAGAACAGTCTGGTCTGTAACAACACAACCTGAAAGGAAGCCATTCCTAATAGGAAGTTTCTAGCCGTCTTTCTTGAGGAGCGAGAAAAGAGAGGAAATGGACTATCTGGTTTGGCCACTACATTTTATGAAAAAGGTAGAGATGAATCCCCAAGAGCAGAAAGATCAGAAGGAAGTAGGCTCTTAGATAGGGCATTCCCGCTTAGCCCCTGGCTTACCTAAACCGCTGTTAGCATGTTAGCACGAGAGTGGATCGGGGAATCGAAAATGCTTCTTTGATTGTTGAGTAAGGAAGCGTAGCAGGGGAAGGGGATAGCACCGGTCTTGACTCTAATACTATTCTTCTTTGAGTAGATGTCGGCATAACCACTGCTATTTCATCTGCAGCTCTTAATAATATAGAAGTCACACAAACTGGAGGACACAAATTGAAATTACCTTTTTTAGCATACACAGAAATAAGTAGCAAGTAGAGTGCCTTACAAAAAGCCCTATCTGTTATACAATTTCCTAACACAAATGAAATAAATCGGGTAAAAGACAAAGTAATTAAACCCTTATGAGTAACTCGCAGCGATTCAATATCTATTTATTTATTTAGCAAAACAAGAATTGTTTTGAGTAACATTCACCTGTAGTATAAAGTTGGTAATTTATAACAAATATACCATTATCTAATGCTTAGAGACGTGAACCGTGAAGCAAAGAGGAGTAAAACATTATAAATTCTACAGTCTTTTAGCTAAGAAAACGTAGGAAAGAAATGATGACCTTTTGTCACCCCGCTTTATGCTACTATGGAAAGGTATATTTGTACGCAAAAGTAACCGAAACTTCGACTTTTAACTTAAACTGTTTGTTTGCACTTTGAAACTGATATTTACCAATATGACCGACATGAGAATACAATTGAGCAATGAATTCACCATGTACAGTGTACTACTTTCTGATATCATTATAATAATGAATTAATATGTAATAGTTTATCCAAATAAGAAGCCAAAATCTAATATTATTGCTTTAGGATGACTCAACTCCAGTGAATCAAATTGTTTAACCAACTGTGCAAAATGATATATATTGGAATGATGAGCATATATGATATCAAACGGTTTAAGGATATCTACTAAAAAAATATTGGTGAAACAAAATTGTATCAGACAATTTTTTTTTTGAATTCTTTTGTTAATGATATTTGAACGAAAAATGTCGCTCGATATAGTTGATGTGGAGTTATTGAATTGCTCAAAAGATAAAACAAACAAAATTGAAGCAAACAAAATTGAAGCCCAACTCCTTTGATTTATCAATAAAAGAACCTATAGGAAGTTAGCTTCACTGTCATAACCACAAATTTGAAAAAGACCCATAGTAAAATAATCAATTTATAACCAGGTACTCTCGACAAAATTGCATAATAATTGGAATTCATATATAGAAACCAAAATTATAAAAGTGAAGACTGAATCTAAGATACCCGTGAATGTATCCTCTTTTTGGAGATATCCAGATCTTGAATTCATTAACTTGCTTGGAGAACGTTTTCCTCCTACCCAATTTGGAAACTCTCAAATTGTCAGAAAATGATCTCACTGATTCTTTCCCCAAGTTTAAATGGTGGAGCAGTAGCCACCAACTGAGCTAGAAATACACATCCTTGAACTCCAATGATCTATAACAATAAGTAAATAGCAGAGAGATAACCATTACCTCTGTAAGAGAAGACATCGAAGAAAGCTAGATGAGGCCATGGGGGACTCTGAAGTTAGAACATACTAGATGAAGAATGTAAGCGAATTTGAGAGGTACGAAAATGCAAAATAGAGAATAAATGAGGTGGAATGTCAAAATTACCCTTGATCGACCACTTTAGCTTTTCTATATAATAGAAAAATTAGCTAGAATACATCATAGCTCTATGTGAGTTTGACTCCGACCTCTAAATTATATTATATTTATAACTATCGCTTAATCTTTTTTGTAGTCATAGTTGGACTTGATCATCAAGTCCAAAACAGATACCCAAAATCGAATGAGAAAAAAACTTTTTCTAGCAATTTTAATTTTTTTAAAGAAATTTGTATTGTGGATTGGCTACACGTATTATGCAACCCTAATGGAACACGTGGCACCATATGATGTGACACATCAAGTTTCCATCACCTTCATAAGCATAAAATCTAACATGTAAACTAGTTAGTTGGCATGTCTTAGAGAAACAGAAAATAAAATCCACTGGGCCCCTACAGTAGTCATTAAAGGACATGGCCCCTACAGTCATTACCAAAATTCATCCAAGTCAAAGGCAAATGATTATTCAGGCCGATTTGACATGACCAGTGGACACGTGGGCCATACGTGTTCCTCACGTGGTGGAGTGATGCGAGAGTGCACTATTGAGTCTGTGTGGTGCAGCTGCAGCAGAAACCCACTTGTGAACCCCACTGTTGCCTGATTGTTTGGTTACAGGGTCGGGTCGTTCCTACTTCCTAGGGGTCTACATTTTTTCCGGATTCTGTCAATTAGGGGTGTTCATAAAAATTCGAAAAATAGAACCAAATCGAAAATCAAACCAAATTGAAACAAAAATCGATACTTTCTAGGTTTTGATTTGGTTTTGCTTTTGAATTTTAAGAACCGATCAAATTTGGTTTAGTTTTGGTTTTATTAAAAAAATTAACCTAAAAAAATTGAACCAAACCGACTATAAAAGTAGCTATTTAAATTTATTATTATACCTATATATGTGTATTTTTATATAAAGTTTCTAAAATTTTATGGTACATATTAGTCATTTTATATTTTTAATTTAGTTCTTTGGTATATATTATAATAATCTAATTCTTTGCGTTTATATTCTAGTCTTATTGGTAGTTTTCTTTTGCTAAGTACAAGAATTTATTTCATTTTAAAATAATCGATTTTTAATTGAGTACTTAAATTATTCATCGCTATTTGATTCAATTATCATCAATATATCTTGGTAAATGATAGATTTCTCAAAGAGCAATTGATTTGATAGTGTTACGTTGACAATGTAGTCGCCAGAATATGCGTTTGGTAGTGTATGTCTCATATTTAAGAAAATAACCGCACCGAAAAAACCGAAAAACCGACAAAAACTGAATCGATAAAAAACCGACTTAATTGGTTTGGTTTGGTTCCAATATTTGAAAAACCGACTTACTTGGTTTGGTTTCTTTTTAGGGGAAAACCGACCCAAACCTAACCATGAACACCCCTACTAAAATAACTCATAACATAACCTCCTTATCTGTTAAGCACCCTAGTCTCACCCCAAAAGTACATGTTATAACATTCCCAACTTGTCGACGAAACTTATTTTCTTCAATTCGTTTAGCTTTTAAGCCTTCCAACCTTCTTGGTACTTGCAGTTCATGATCTTAAATATTTGTAACCGCCAAGGTAACATGATTAACTTACTTTATGCAGTGTTGTCAAAGGCGTGCTTAATCCCTAAAGCGAGGCTCAAAACATGTTGAGCGCTTCACCTCGCTTTGTGGGCGCTTCAGTGTCGCATCAAGGCTCTAAGGCATGCTTTCCTTGCCAATGAGTGTAACCTTGAAAATGCGACACTGAATAATTGATATTTCACTTTATCATTATTTTTTCTTCACTTTTTTTGTCCATATATTTGTTATTCATGCTTATAATTTATTGGTCTTGGACTACATATACATATTTTTACTTTTTCCTCCCGTTGCGCCGTATTTCATTAAAGCCCACGCTTTATTTGCGCTTTGTGCTCAAAGCCCCAACGGGCCTTAGAGCTTTTTTGCACTTTTCGCCTTTGATAACACTGACTTTATGTACTTTCAAAGATGATCTCATTTCTGAGCTTACATCAATTGACTTACGACGTACTTTTGCGTATGAAAACATGGGGTGTAACTTTATTCAGATAACCGCTCCTATTTTCTTCTCTGCATGGCCAAATATCCTGACAATTGGAGTTTAAGAAATTAATAATATGAGTTTCTGCTGCCCCACCTTTAAAATCGTGTCGTTTGGGTATTTATGTGTCAACTTCTTTCCTAATAAACTCTGTGTTTTCTGCCAATATGATGCCATAATGTGAGAGCCATTCCTTGAGATATGTTTCAAATTGTGCTTATAGTTAGACAAGTTATTTGGTGACCCATGAAGTGTTAATGTGTATGATGCTCATCTTGGTTAGGTGTGCTGGAGATTTGATGGGAAGAAATATGAGCTTGCCAAGAAGTTCAAAATGTCAATAATCAACCATAGATGGGTTGAAGATTGTATTAAGGAAGGAAGGCGTCTTCCGGAGGGTCCCTACACATTTCAATGGTATATAAAATACTGGCTTACTAGTTATTGCGATGTAGGTTTTCTTGGTTTGATGCATGCCACTTCAGTTGAAGAGAACTAGATAAAATAATATGAGTCTTGATAAGAGAATGTAATGATTCTTCAACAAAATCTGGAATCACTTTTGGACAATTGTGTGCATATCCTGCTGATGATGTTTACTTGATGAGATCTTTATGTTTCTAGATGCCTACTCACAGAAATATTGCTGTTTAGCTATCTAATGGCTATGAATCGAGAAAAAGACAAAAATATAGCTAATCAATTTCTTGTTGCACTTATAAAGAATCAAGAGAAAATGCATTTGCATGACTAAATTATCCTTTTCTGCTTCTCTGGAAAAGTTTGACTGTGGTATTTATTTCTTTCATCATTTTTCTCGTGACAGCTAAATTTATTTTGTATTTAACAGTCATTCTTATTTCTTACTTTTGAAGAACACAAGTTGCAGACCGAGATTTCTTAAATTAATTTTTTTATATATGGGAGATGCCATAGAATTAATTAACCAACATTTGATTTATTAGCAGAATGTAGCGATTTCTTTCTTTGTCAATTTGTCTGTCTGAGAGCTGCTGTATAGCTCATTTGGAAGTTGGTTGTATTGGTTGCTTATGATCAATCATATCTCCAGTTCTACAGCTGGAATCTTATCCCTTGGCATTCAATTATTTGCAGTGGGCAAGAAGTGGGTCCGATAATGTTGGATATTACACTTTTTAGCGAAAGTAAACAATTGAACCACTCCAAAGAACCAGCTATTCTTATTGAATCTGAAGCGGATTTCAACTCTTGGACAGATTCAACTTTATTAAAAGAGGTGCATTCATTTATTCGTTAATGCTCTTTATCATTTTCATAACTAGATCTTGCACTTCAAAGGGGTAGTTCAAAGTGCTTTTGTTTAACAGTTCAAACTAAAAAATATTCCTTCTGATTGACAAACAATCCACATTATCCGGCTGTTCCTGGCTTTATGTATCAGTAGGAATATTTATCGATGCATGCTGTAAATGTTGTATGTCTTGGCTAGTTATTAGCATAATCTAGGTCATTTATCAGAAAGAGTTAGTGCAATATAGATCAGAAGTTGATCATGCACCAGCTTCACTTCAGTATGTGCTGATTCAGAAAGCTCTTGTGCCCTTCCGATTCGAAACCATGTCTCAATGCTTTGTGAAATGCAGGGCTCTTTCAGTGAGACAGGAGAGAATTAGCAATTGCAAAGGTAAAACAATGTAGGTAGGGCCAGCAACTCAACCAGTATATAAACAAAGTGCTAGTTAATACTAAAAAAAAGGAGATCGGTTTAGTGATAGCAGCACTACATTTTGTACTGAGTTAACTCCACAAAAGCACCTTTTGTATTCTTGAAGTAACAGCCAGCTGGAACAACTCATTCTGTGCTCTTCATTTTTTTCCTTTCTCCTCAATTCACTATAAATAGAACTAGTTTCCCTTATTCTTTTTCTTTTCTTTTCGTTTCTCATTCTTTCATGCTTGGGCTCAATAATCCACTGCTTATCTACCATCTCAATGGCTTTCTTGTTCAGAACATTAATTGTTGGCCTTTATCTGGCTGATTACATCATTCTGTTGCTTTGCAATTTTCACTTACAATGGTTTTGTGTTACTGAATGAGGATGTTCTTACTTTCCTTTGTTTCATCTATTTCAAAACGAGTCAGATTTACAAGTTTCAAGTTTGGTGTTGATTTTTGTATGATTGAGCAGTAGACTACAAGGTCTCTTTTTTCTTTCAGTAAAAGAAGCTGAAAGATCAGTTGACAAATAAAAAATTAAAAAGAAAATAGAAGACTTTCCACCAAACAAGCACCTCAATTTTGGTAATTAAGGGAAACAACACATAGATTCAGTTTAAATCAAGTGTGCATATGTACTTTTAAATTTGCATTTCCAATTTTACAGCATTTCTTTATAGACATGTTCATCCAACCTTCTTCGTGACCCTAGGTATTGGATATATATTGTACTGCAAAATAAGTGCTGAGACACATCTTTATAAAAGGATTATATAACATAGCTTCAATTTCTTAGCTTCAATTTCTTGCTTTTATGCTGGTTGCAGAATTTGTCTCCTGAGCTGGTTAAACACAAGGATAGACCAAGGAGGAAATCAAATGGAAGTAATCTGAACGAGGATCACCCGTCCAGCAGCATATATTGTTCTGGTGAGCACTCTTTACAATGCTCACGTAGAACACAGGTAATAACTTTTTAGACAGTCATTATTTAATGCATTACTTTCCAAACTTTAGTTGATACTTTTCTTTTCCTCTTTTTTTCCGTGTAGATTGAAGAACTGAATTTCCCCTCTTCAGCATTCCTTAAACCCAAGAACAGAAGTTCTGAATTTGCTGAAACTTCTCGCAGAAGTCGTAGATTGGCAAAGAAGAACATTAGTGGGGATCTTGTGGAGATTATTTCAGGTTCAGAGAAACAGAGTCTCCAATTACAAGCTCTTCGGGAACGTGAAACTTTGGCTCAAATTTACAACTTGGATGTTGAAATGCCTGAAATCTCTATGATTAACAGGCATGGATCTGGTTTTAGCTTCCATCAGTCAGAGGCGGGACCAAGTAGAATAGGTGTAGACGGCACTGGGGAAACTGAAGTTAACAGACTCCTTGATAATGGTAATCAGTGTTTACATGCAGAAGGTACCTCATCTAATCTTCCTGGAAATGGACAAGAGCCATGCCTAGCTGTTGATGAGGTCCAAAATGAGACTGATAATACTTGCAAAGTGTCTACATCAACCGCATTATCCTGTGTCATATGTTGGACAGATTTTAGTTCATCCAGGGGGGTGCTTCCCTGTGGTCATCGTTTTTGTTTCTCATGCATCCAGAAGTGGGCCAATCATATGGTAAACATCCTATCGGCCTTTCAATTTTGTTTGAGGGGAAGTTTTTTTTTTCCTCTTTTTCAATTTTTGCATGCCATCGTGATGAGACGTTATTATGATTTCCTCTACGCATGCAAGTGAAACTTCTGATTCTTGGATGTTTGTTTTTGTTTCAATTGATATTTTTCCTTTCACAATGCCATTATCATAGGCATCAAGCAGGAAAGTCTCGACATGCCCTTTGTGCAAGGCTAGTTTTGTTGCCATTACAAAGGTTGATGATGCAATTACTGCTGATCAAAAGATATACTCTCAAACTATTCCGGACAATAATCCGGAAATGAACATATATATACTTCCCGAGGTTGAAACATCAAGGTTCCGTTCTAATGTAAGTTCACTGGTAATTTCTATTCTATATTGCAGTCTGGAGAAATCACCTCCTCTTTGTTTGTGTTGTACATTGATGTGGATATCTATGTGTCATCATTGTCATCAAAGAAAATATATTTTAACATTAGACACCTTTTCTATGTCCATGTGCCTTCTCTTCCCGTAGGTGCAGGCAAATCATACTTGAAGCATTATCTAACTGCCTTGAGTCGGATGCATGAATAGCCCAAACGTTTCTCCTATTTGGTGCAACGAGTGTTACTGCAGTAACATATTAGATCCCTGTATCAAGCATTTCAATTTTATAGATCAAAGTAGGTGTCTTTACTTCCACATCTTATGATACTCATCTGATTCTTCATATTTAGTATTTCAATGTTTCTGTTACTCTCTTTCTGAAGCATGGTTACTTATAGTTCGACCAGTCCACAGCCGAGTTCGAGTTGGTCCCTTTGCACTGGAGACTTGTCAAAAACCAAAAACCAAGAAAACAATTTTATGGTCAAAAGCTTCTATCATAGGTTGAAGCTAAAGATGTCCGTTAAAGTATTCATTTGAAATGTGGAAGGAGAATCATCTTGAATGTTGGAGGTCACAGCTTCTGAAGAGTTCCATATGTATTGTCATCGTCTATCCTTAATGGCTGTTGTCTTTGAACTGCCTTAAGTAAAAAGAGTAACAGAGTAGTACATCAGGGCTTTAGTCTGGTAGCATTGGACTAAAATACAGATCTGTGATTTATTCCCTTATTCAATACAACAACATGAGGAGGACTCTAGAATAGGTGTCCATGCCTAGTTATTCTACACGTTCTGATGATTTCCCTGAGTTGCTTTGACTTTCTTGCTAAAACATGTTTCTACCTCCCAAACACCCCTGATCAAGAAGAGAAGAACAGGGGTGAAGTATGTTTAGTGTTTGCATCATGCATTTTGGTGTTCTCAGTTCACTTTCATTTGTCATTTTGATTATGTAGCCATCAAGAACTCCAGTTTGCTGTCGATGCTCTTGTCGAGAACCAGCAGACCTACTAGTCAAATGTCATCTCTGCGAGACTCTCTGTATTCATTCCTATTGTCTGGATCCTCCATTGCTTCCATGGACATGCATGCACTGCAAGGATCTGCAGAGGCTTTACCGTCGTAGCTGGTAGTTTGCGTGCTTGGAGGCTTTCTTGGCTTGACTAGTGAAGTGATTTTTGCCATCTCATTTGTACTATTTTTTTTTCCAGAATAGATGCACATTCTTGCATTTTCTGCATGTGTAACTATAAAAGAACTACTACCTCTTGTAGTCCATTTTGCAACATACCCTGCCCCACCTGAAAACCAATATGATTAGTGAGAAAGTTGCTTTACATGAACTCCACTGCCATTTGAGAGGCAAAGCAAGCTGTTAGTATAAAACTTCCGGTTACATCAGAAGTAGTTTCTGGGCATGCATCTACTTGTGGTTTTTGGTGGATTTGGAATGAGTGAAGGAATGTTTAAGGGTGACTAGCGAGGTTGTTGTAATGACAAGAGTACTCTACTTTCAACTAAGAGCTTAAAAGTTTGAGTTAATAAAGAAGCTAAGTGGGATAGAAAAACTTGCGACTCTTAGATAAGAAGGCTTTGGGTTGGGTTTCCCATATCCTTCAAAGAAATGAACAATTAACTTAAAGAACCGTCCATCTAATAGCTTAAACTAAAATAGCCGGAAAAAAATAAAGAAGGATGAGAAAGGTTTGCATTTCATGCAACGAAAGGCATTATAGGTACTCACAACTTGCAAGGAGGACCATCCATTTTGTCTAATCATACAGGATAAACCACGTTTTCCTCCTTTGGAGGAATCATCAAAATAACTCTGAAAAAGCTTGTGTCACGATCCAAAATCCTAACCTGTCATGATGGCGCCTAACGTGGTACTAGGCAAGCCGACATTTCAAAAATATTTCCAATATTTAATAGAGAATGAATCAAAGTAGTTTTAAATAACAAAAATTCACATAAACGGGGTAGAAACCCAAAACATAACGCGGAAACTCCCAAACATCGGGGTGTCACTAGCATCTAAATACCACAAGTCTGGAAAATACTGTCTAACACAGTCCGATACTAAATACAATAAGCGGAAAAGATAAGGAAGGAGAAACAAAGTTTGCGAAGCGCCGGGCAGCTACCTTGGAATCTCCCAGAAGATCAACTGTACGATGAAGTCAACACCCACCGTGTCTGGAAATACCTGGATCTGCACATGAAGTGCAGGGTGTAGCGTGAGTACAACCAACTTAGTAAGTAACAAGACTAAATAAAGAACTGAAAGTAGTGTCGAGCTCTGTAATTATAGTTCAATTTCAGTAATTTCAACATAGGAAAGTAGACATGTTTTCAAGTTCGACAATTTAGGTCAAATCAGTTACTTCATGTCAAGTTCAAGTAAAATAGAATATAACATCTTAGAAACCTTCAAGACAGTGATATATAGCAGCTAAGTGTTTTAACAATAATGAAATCAAGAGCATCATCTCAGAGCAACAATCACTCAATCTTTCTCATTAGCTCAACACTCGTACTCAATAGGTACCTGTGCTCACTAGGGGTGTGTACAGACTCTGGAGGGGCTCCTTCAGCCCAAGCGCTATATCACTGCGGCGTGCAACCCGATCATATATATATATATATATATATACACACACACACATAACATATACAACCCTAAGGGTCGTTGCGGCGTGCAACCGGATCCACGTATATACAGCCCTAAGGCTCGTTGCGGCGTGCAACCCAATCCACATATATACATATCGCTCACAGCTCAGTACGCAGGACCTAACTCAGTCACCAACCTCTCCAGTCTCTCGAGCTCTCAAAAATCATAAAAATCAGCCCAAACAAAAATGATGTAATGTATCAACAAGAAACAAGAAGAGACTGAGATATGATACGCAAGTAAAACTGTGACTGAGTACAAGACAACAATTAGAAAATAACTCAACAAGACATTACCTCTGTGGGTCCCTACAGTACCAACACATAGACTAAAAATGATTTCTAACATGATTCGGACTCAAATTTCTGTAACACATGAAGAGCATATAGCTAACAACAGATTATTCAACTTCACAGTTTCACGGAACGGTCCAAGTAACAATTTTTACGATGCACGCCCACACGCCCGTCACCCTAGCATGTGCGTCACCTCCAAACCTATCACGAGACACATAATACGGGGTTTCATACCCTCAGAACCAGATTTAGAACTGTTACTTACCTCAATCCGAGCCAAATCTCTACTCCAACACACCTTTGCCTCGCAAATCGGCCTCCAAATGTCCCGAAGCTAGCCACAAACAGTACAATACAATTAACACGGGCTAAAGGAATCAATTTCACAAGCAAATATGAGATTATTTTAAAAATCCGAAATCGGCTCCAAGCCGGTCCACGGGCCCACGTCTCGAAATTCAACAAAAATCACAAAACCCAAAATCCCATTCAACCACGAGTCTAACCATACCGAATTTATCAAATCCGACACCAAATCGCCACTCAAATTCCCAAAATTAACTCTCCAAATCCCTAGCCTCAAACCCCATAATTACACCTCAAAAACACACAAACTAGGTGAGAAAATCAATGGGAAAACAAGATTATTGATAAAAAACGAGCACAATGGACTTACCTTAAGAATCCCCTCGAAAATCCTCTCCTAAATTGCCTTAGACCGAGCTCAAAATGTTTGAAAATGAAGAAAATCGCGAACCGTTGTGTTTTTAATTCTTCCCAGCTAAACCGCTTCTGCAGTTCACTTAGTCACATCTGCGGCTACTCATGCTTCTGCTTCGTCCATTCCGTTTCTGTGAGGAGCTGTTCGCTTTTGTGAAGCTGCCTCAACAAGCGCCCTTGCGCTTCTACGATCAAACACTTGCAGGTGTGGGCGCGCTTCTGCGGCTACCTGCCGCTTCTGTGATCACATCCCTATCCACACCTGGCCGCATCTGCGATGGAGAGCTCGCTTATGCGATGTCGCACCTGCGATGAGACTTTCGCAGGTGCAATTACACCAGTAGCTGCCCAATCTTTAGCAATTCACTATGTCCCATTCTAGATCCGTTAACCATCTGAAATCAACCTGAGGCCCCCGGGACCTCAACCACACATACCAATTAGTCCCAGAACATCATACGAACTTAGTGGAACCCTCAAATCACCTCAAGCAACATCGAAAACACGAATCGCACATAGATTCAAGCTTAATGAACTATGGAACTTTTAATTTCTAAACCTATCAAAACATGTCCGATTGACCCCAAATTTTTAACATAAGTCACAAATGACACCACGGACCTACTCCAACTTTCAGATCGAAATCCGACCCCGATATCAAAAAGTCCACTCCCGATCAAACTTCTAAAAATCCAACTTTCGCCATTTCAAGCCTAATTCAACTACGGACCTCCAAATCATAATCCGGACACGCTCCCTAGTCCAAATCACCCAACGGAGCAAACAGAACCAGCAAAACTCTATTCCGGAGTCGTTTACATATAAGTCAACATCCGGTCAACTTTTTCAACTTAAGCTTTCAATTATGAGACTAAGTGTCTCCTCCATTCATTCCGAAATTCTTTCGGACCTAAACTGACTAACCCGATAAGTCATAAAATGACAGTAAAGCACAAAATGATTAGTGAATGGAGGAATGGGTCTACAACTCTCAAAACGACCGGTTGAGTCGTTACAGCTTGACATTGGAATAAACAAATAAGACATATCAATAAAAGAAAGTGAACTTTGTTACTCCTACTTGTTATCATCGGTCGAGCCAAGCACCTCTTGCCTGGTGCTTCTTCTGTTATAGGAATACCATAAGTTTGCCTGATTGAGCAAATTAATAAGGATTTACCTATATACTTCCTCCGTTCCAGTTTATGTGAACCTATTTCCTTTTTGGTCCGTTCCCAAAAGAATAACCCCTTTCTAAATTTGGAAATAATTTAGCTTAAACTTACAATTCTACCTTTGATGAGAAGCTTTTATAGCCACATAAATACTCTGGACCCCTTTTTGACTTGTTTAGGACCACAAATTCCAAAAGCCTTCATTTTTTCTTAAACTCCGTGCCCATTCAAACAGATTCACATAAATTGGAACGGAGGATGTAGTTTTTAGGTAAAATGGCCTCGTGGCCACTTAAACTAGCACCAGTTTACCAATCCAGTAAACAAACTTACACATTTCCCATTTTTACACCTCAACTTGATGAATGGAATACTAATAAACACTTCTGATTGAACGTGGTCTTCACTCGCTGTGACATGGATGACACGTTATATACTAAGTTTTTTATTCTTTGACATGTGTAAAATGTGGGACCTACTTAAAAACGCAATTTACTAGATTTTAAACTTATTCTCTTTTCTTCTTTTCCGTTCTTTTTCTCTGTTCCTCTTCACCATATCAACAGTGAACCTTCTAAGACATAACCTTCAACCATCACCGAGAACCACAAACTGAATACAATAATAGTGCTGAAGAGGTGTCCAAACTGGGGTAACAGCTTCAAGAACGCGGGGAAGGGTAACCATAAATGAAAATGAGATATGTGGGTTCATCAACACCGACACCAAACAATGTCAAATATTTCTAGTGGAATTGGCCGGAGGAACAATCTATAGAGAACAAATTTACTTTTCTATAAATTTAATTTCAGATGTTTGAGAAGTGTTGTAGTGTAATTGGGTGTTATCTAAGAGAGGTGGACAGAGATAGGTAGTCACCGGTGAAGTGTTTTAGGCCATAAGCTCCCTCTTTTATGGTAAAATATGATGATGGTCGTATTCTGATTTTGGTGGTGGTGCTTGCCGATTTTAGTCGTCTGTGATGAAGGTTCTGGTGGTCTTAAGTTTAAGGTAATTTTTAATGGTCAAGATTGAAAACAGAGGTTGTTTTGGTAGAATTTTTTCTTAAAAATCTTTTATGATGG